CCACTCACCCACCTTACACACACACACACACAAAAACATACCAGGAGCCCAGCAACAGGAAACAGGCGGGTTTCCTCCGTCTCTTCTTCAAAGCCCAACGGCCGCTTCCATCCCCCCACCCCAAGCCTCTCTCGCAAAAGCCAGAGGTCATCTAGCCCGACCCCCCCCCACTCCAGCAGGAGACATAAGAGAATCCTAAGAGTTGGGAAGGCACCTAGGAGGTCATCCAGCCCAACCCTCTGCCCCAGCAGAATTACTGAATCAGAGTCGGGAGGGACCTCAGAGGTCTTCTAGTCCAACCCCACTGCTCAAGGCGGAAACCCTTAACAGAAGAACTGTTGGAAGGGAACCTCAGAAGTCAACTAATCCACCCCCCTCCCCTTGCTCAAAGAGGAGACCTTAACAGAAGCACAGCATGGGAAGGGTCCTCGGAGGTCCTCTAGTCCAACCTCCCCCCCCTTCTCAAGCAGGAGACTCAACACCATGCCGGACAAAGGGCTCTCCAATCTCTGCTTTAAAAAAACCCTCTGAGATCCCTTCCCCCTCTGTGATTGTACTTAGGAGAACGGTGGAAATTTTCGTCTTCTCTCCCGCGCGAAGGACGTCCATGCCGTTGACCAATTTTATTCCTTCTCTTCCTTTCAGCTCCGGAGCTGCGGATCGTCATGGTGGGCAAAACCGGCAATGGGAAAAGTGCGACCGGAAACACCATTTTGGGGATGGACGCCTTCCCGTCCCGGGCGGCCTCGACTTCCATCACGGGCAAGTGCAGAATGGCCACGCGGAGCTTGCTGGACGGGAGGCGCCTGGCTGTCATCGACACACCGGGCTTTTTCGATAACGAGCAGTCGGAGCAGGCGACCTGCGCCAAGATCAAACGGTGCGTGGAGGTGTGTGTGCCGGGACCCCACGCCATTGTCCAAGTCATCCACCTGGCCCATTTCAGCGGGGAAGAGTTGGAGGTCACCCGGCTCATCAAAGACATCTTCAGCCTCAAAGCGAAGGCGTACATGATCGTCTTGTTCACCCGCAAAGAAGACCTGGAGGGACGCTCTCTTCACGACCTGCTGTCCTCCAACGACAATGA